CAATATGCTCTAATTATTTTGGACAAGGCTTAATTTGTTTTTGTACAATGTTTGAATCTGTTTTTTGCTTTTTTTACATTATGTGAAGTTTTTCTTGGTAAGTGTTGGGCTGTTTCTATTGTGTCCGTGTAAGTTGTTGATAATTCTAATATTTCTGCTGGTTTTGATTTCGTACCAGCTTACATTTTCCTATCTTTAGAATGGGCCAGTCACTTTACTAAAAATCCTTTCTAGGAAAGTATTGCCTTTCCTACATTCCTTCAGATTCTCTCTGGTCTTCAGTGCAGCCCTGCAGGAAGCTTGCCTTACTGAAATCCCCTCCTTTAACTCTATTGTACTCCTTTGTCTACAGAGTGGCAGAGTGGTCCAAGGCCAAATGCTGTACTTAAGTGGCTTCTGATTAGAGGTCTCTGAAGACAGCTCTCTTCCTAATACCTCAGTGTATCAGGGAGTTAGGTTCTCTCCTCTTTGTAGCTTCCTGTCCAAACTCTCTTCGACTCTTTGATCCCTGGGATGTTTCCAAGGCAAAAGGGGTCTCAAAATGGGAGAAAGCCCCCTTCTCCAGGAGAATTTCAGGTCATTCTCTCCACCACACTTCAATATGCTAGCCCTGGGGAGAAGTGTCTTACCTGATTATATCTTCTCTCCTAAACTCTATTCCCATCCATTGCCACAAAAGTGGCATGAGACCAGTGGGCACCAATGTAAGCAGTGTTTCTTTTGTCTACTGTTATTGGTCTGTGGAGTTACTCGTCCAGGATCCTCAATTCTCTTCTCAACTCCCTGTGAAGTTTCAGCATAAGGTCCGTGGCTTCACTGTTGTACTAGGTGAAGGTTATGCCTTGGTAGGATCTTGGATATCAGTGATCCCTCTACAGCCTGGAAGCTGTTGCAAGCAAAGAAGCAAATAAATGATGATGGAATGGTGGGGGTGAGGTTCAAGTGTTTTCCTATCCAAGGAGGGTGGGCCGATTTCTCTGCAGTGGCCCCGCATCAGTTCCCATTAGCTGACTTGGGTTTAGATCTTATCTGTAGCAAGCAAAGAGCAAAATACAGCACTTTTAAAATATTGTTAAGTGCATGGATGAAGATCATGTGTACTGAGAACTTTAATATGAAGGGCCCAAATCAAAACAACCCACTGCTATCAGGTTTATTCCAATCCACAGTGATGTTGTAGGACAGAGTGGGACTACCCAGAATATGTCCAAAGCTCTAAATTTTTATGGAAGTGAATTGCCTCATTTTTCTTCAGCAGTGACTGATGAGTTCCAACTACTTCCCTTTTTTATTATCAGCCAAATAGTTTACCCAGAGTGCTACTTGGAATCTGTAACAAAGGAATAGAAGGAAGTTAATGTTTGTCAGTTCATTGTCATATACCTGTAAGTAGTCTATATATCTAAAATAGTTCTTAAAAAAAACTCTTCAAGTTATATATTATTGTACAATCTTAAAAAATACTTGATATTAAAAGATACTGAGTAACTAAATCAATGAAACTTAAGTCAGAGATAGTTGTGTATTACTCTGTAAGTTTCGACTTAAAATGATTCTATATTACAATGGGATAGAAACAGGAGTCCATTTACCCTAGCTTTACCACATATGCTTTTTGTTCACAACAATACATTAACTGCACAAAGCATTGATCAATTACATTGATAATAAAAGTACATATGACAGAAGTCTTATGTGATAGAATTGTTAGACCACTGTGTGCATAAACTAGAGGTGAACAAATTATATCCCATGCATATAACCTAATGTGATGCCTTTGGAAAGTATTTCTTTTTTTAGCACTAACCAACCAACAAGTTAATTCCTATTCATGCTAACCTCAAGTGTGAAGAGTTGAATGACACTCATAGGGTTTTCAATGACTGATTTTTTTTTTAGAAGTATGTTCTTCCTCAGTATCTCTCTATGGACTTCAGTTAACAGCCAAACATGTTAACTTTTTGCAACACTTATGAATACAGTCCAACTCATAGTTTTGTGTTTAGTTAATGATAATTACACGCGCTATTAGGTAGTTGAGTTACCAGAGACAAAATGGACCATGGAGAGTAAAACATTAACTCTGATCTAGTATAGAAAAAAGTTTGATGAACCCTAAAATAGTCTGTAAATTAAAATTTAATAAGTATTTTAGAAAAATAACACTTTTCAATGAGAAAACTACCAAAGTTTGTATAAACTAAAAAGAGGAATATATTGGGAGTCGGTATATTCCTGCATTGTCATTTCTACTTTGATCAATCTACCAAGATTTTTCTCTTCAGCTTAGAATTTAAAGTAACAGCTGGTTAAGGAGAGGCATGGCTTTCTGTGCAGTGGAAAACTGGTAAGATGGTAACATATGGTGAAAGAAGGAGTGGAGGGATGGGATGATGACACTATGCTTCTAGGATCTAATGATGAAGGAGAGGGACTTTGGTCTATCAAGACCAGCTGTCATCAGATTCTTTCTACTTGTTAATTTGAAGACAGAATTTATCCCATACTGGAAAACTTCACTGATAGTAGCTTTTCTGCATTCTACTGGTTTTTATTTAATATCTGCTCCATCATTGCTTCCCAGTTTTCTTCTCATTATTTTAAATTTTTGGCTATTATTAATCTTGATATAATACATCTTGGCTTCTTTTTAAATTAGTTTTCAAAAAGAAATTGTGTATAGGTCTTCCCGAATCTGGTTCATTATTTTACCTTGTGGTTCATATTATTTCTGTATTCAATTGACTTATTTTTCTTAATTCTTAAGTGCTTATTTCAGTAACTTTTGGAGATTTCCCCCAAATATAAAAAAATCCCCTCTTAAATTCTAACACATTGTACATTCCCCAAACTTCTGATGTATAACATTTTCTCAATCATCCCTAAATATTTTTTTAAAAATATTTTTAACTAGGAGATGCTTTCTTCACTTACTGTACAGCTGTTTTCTTAAATATATTTTCTTCCATTTTATTTGCAGGCTTTCTGATTCTACAATTTTAGAACTGGAGTTTTTGTGGCTGGATTTTAAAATGTTTAGCTAGTATGGAAGCACTGTAATTTAATTGGCAAAATAAATTTATTTACATGTAAGACTACTGACTTCACTTTAACATCCTACTTTATTTATAAGGATTCCATATTTGTTCCCATTTCCAAAAAAGGTGATCAAACAGAATGCTGACATTATTAAATGATATCATTAATAACATGTGTGTAAGCAAAATATTGCTGAAGATCATCCAGTATTGATTAGAACAGTCCATTGACAGACAACTACCAGAACTTTAACTGGATTCAGAAGAGACTGTGGTACCAGGATGTCATTGCCAATGTCCGATGGATTCTGGCTATGAGCAAAAAAAGAATGTCTAAATCCAAAGCTAGTTTCTCTCTGAATATTATTTCTCCCCTCATTTATCTTTTTCTACTGGAGTCTAACTATAATCTCTATGTGATTTAATTATCTAAATTTCTTCCTCTTCTTCTATGTGCTGTACTTTCTCTTTATAATTTTCTTCCAGCTCATTTAACTTTATCTTCTACTCTAATCTGTGTTTTTGTTCTTACTTTGTTTTGACTGCAATAACTGCAATATTTCAGTAAATAATATTTCATTAATCTCTTAATTCTTGTTTTATTTTCATTCTGTCTTCTATTTCTTTATAATTTTTAGGTGGTTTTACTAGACATTACATTTTCAAGTCCCAGGATAAATAATCTTAAGAAGTTGCTGAGTTTTACTTATACCATTTACTTATACCATTTTCTTTTCCTTTTATGGAGTTTATCCTATGGAATATTCTCTTTTTCTCTCCGTTTTTGCTTTCCTCTTTTTTTCTTCCTTCTTTATCTTCCTAGCCTTTCTCTGCATCTTCTCCCCTTTGCCCTTACTGTTTTTCTGTTTGGCTTTCATCATTTGAATTTTTTTTTTATATTATAAAACCAACAAGTTGCATGTTTATTTTGCAGAATTTTATCATAATTAGGCTGTATTATATCAATAGTATCTATCTATCTGCTACCCTACCATAATGGCAGAAGGAAAAAGGAAGAAATTATTTTGTTCAAAGAAAGCTTATACTTATCTGTGCTGGGAGCTAGAGTATATTTCTAGCCTATGGCAAATATAGTAATAACATAATACTGAGTCCTTGGGTTCAGGTCCTTATTTCTGTAAGGGACATCAGTGTTTAAACTCTACCCTAGCATTGATAATGCTGTGCCCAGAGCAACCTTGCCTTGTGAGTATATAAAAGAAAATACAGCAAAAGCCAAAAAATCCTCGAACCTATGGCCTTTGAGTCAGAACTGACTCATAGCTGACCCACAGCAGGGTGTCTGAACCTGGAAATTACATGAAAAGAGATTCCTGTCATTTTCCTGTAGAGTTGCAGATGGATTCCTACTGCCAATCAGTGTTGACTTTTGAATTCACAGCACAGTTTTGTGTGCCTCTACCACCAGAGGTTGCCTATGTGTGTGTAAAATGCTTTCTGGTTTTCATTATGATCTCAACTCTTCTTTGTGCCTTTCTGCTCTCCCTCCCTTGTTCCTTGAGTTTCATTTTCTTTCTCTGTACTTGAAGATGCCTCTATTTTCTTGTGAGCCCAACAATATATTACAATTTTTATTTTAATGATGGTCCAAATGCATAGAGGCAAGAATTCCTTCAGAGGATCTAATATCCTATTAGGATGATGGATATGAAAATTTTTATATTAAAATTATTTCCCTGTGAAATTACTAAAGGTAGAATGAATTATTTTAATCTCTGGAAGCAGTATTTTGAATATAGAAAATCCAAAATCAATCTCAACTATGTTTGAAAGCATGTAGCATAATTTAATTAAAAATACAAATATAACTTGTCCATATAAAGAAAAACTAATGTCTAAATATATTTTACATGCAATAATTGTTTCTTCTCTGGAGAAAAAAAGATTAAACAAATCTGTTGTGCTGTGAATACACTAACAGTGTGTTTTGGGATTTAACAGGTCCAAAGGACTATAGCTAAGCAGATTCAGATGGTGAAACAGATTGGAAAAGGTCGCTATGGGGAAGTTTGGATGGGAAAGTGGCGTGGCGAAAAGGTAGCTGTGAAAGTGTTCTTCACCACAGAGGAAGCCAGCTGGTTCAGAGAGACAGAAATATATCAGACAGTGTTGATGAGGCATGAAAATATTTTGGGTGAGTACAAATCTGTATAGGAATGTTCAGAATTGCCTAGCTTTCCTCTGTTTTTCTGTTAAACATCTGTATATAACTCATCTGTCTAGTCATGTTATGAAATATATATTTTCTGCTTGGCATGAGCGCAGGAACATCACAAGCTTCTCATGGGCTGGAAATAGGATGGGATTTTCTAGAAGACTGAGACGTGAAATATTGTCATACTTTTTTTCAGTATTTGTTAGTATTAGAAGGAGCATATTTTTATTTAAATGTTGTGCAAATAGTGGGAATTTTATCAGTAAAATTATTCCCTATTAATTTTTTTTAATATTCTTACATTAAAGCTGTGTCATTCAAGGAGAACATAAACTGATAAGTAGGTAGAGTCATGTTATGCCTTACCACTTTCAAGACCTTGTTTTAAGCAGTATTTTAATACGATGAAGTTGAGCACTTAGTAGTGTAGTCCTTAGAGGGCTGTACTGTTAACCCTAAAACCACACCTTTCTGGTGATTCAAATCCACCAGAGGTTCTAAAGGAGAGAGAGGTGAGTTACAGTCTCAGAAATCCAATGCAGATTCATATTTAGGGAGTGTGAGCCTACGGGCCGTGAGAATGAGAAAATTAATGGAAACAAAAATTTAAATATTAATCACCAGTTAAAAAGGGGCATATTTTCAAACACAAACTAATTTTTTTTTCTGTCCACACAATCTTAAATGCAGGCATTTCATGTTGCTGTTGTGACATTGTGTGCTGTAAGTTGGAGCCCACACACTGCTGACTCTCCAGTGGGTTTTCAGAGGGAATTAATTGCAGGGGAGAATGCCCAGCCTTCTCCCATGGAGCAGCTGGTGGTCGATTTGGACCTTGTGGATTGAACTTCAAGATTGCCATGCAGCTTCTCACCACTAGGCATCAGGGTTCCCTTTTTAGTCATTTAATAAGTATGTCATGGCTGTCATCTAAAAATTGATGAGATGATAAATAAAAGAAAACTTTGAGAAGAATAAGCAGCTCTGTTGGTTAAGTAGGTATATATTGAACTGCTAACTGAGAATAAGACCTTGATTTGAACCTCATAATGGTTTCATGGGAGAAAATACCTGATGACATGTTTCCATAAAGATTGTAGCCTGGTGTAACCTACAGGGCAGTTCTACTCTGCCCTATGGAGTATTATGATTTAGAATGGACCCAATTACAAGGAGAATACAGATTATTTGTCACCAGAAAGTACTTACCTTCCAAACTCTTTTGTCCTTTTTTCCTTTTAGGGTTCATTGCTGCAGATATCAAAGGGACAGGATCTTGGACTCAACTCTACCTAATCACAGACTATCATGAAAATGGGTCCCTTTATGATTTTCTGAAGTCCACTACCCTAGATACGAAAGCAATGCTGAAATTAGCCTACTCATCTGTTAGTGGTTTATGTCACTTACACACTGAAATCTTTAGTACTCAAGGCAAACCAGCTATTGCCCATCGAGATCTGAAAAGTAAGAACATCTTGGTGAAGAAAAATGGAACATGTTGTATAGCTGATCTCGGCCTGGCTGTCAAATTTATTAGGTTAGTACCAAGCTGGACAAGTGCACTTTTTATCTTTTATAGATTGTACATTTTGTAGTTCATTTCTTCTGGGATAGTTAATAGATGAAGAGTTGTATTCATTTCAACTTTTATTTGGAAGGAAAAAAAGAAATGTTTTATTTTAAAATGCAGACTTTCTAAGTTGATCCTGTTAATTTCGTGTCCATAAGTAATCTGACTCAGCAATAGCACTTACTTTAGATTGCAGGGTTTTGCTAATAGAGATCTCTAATGCCTGCGATTATATGGTCGGAATTCAGTATAGCATTTGTAAATTGATAAAAGTCTCAAGGAAAAAAGATACATACTAAAGTAGTAAGAAAGGCAGTGATTTTTTTTTTTAGTGGCATAGGAATAATAACTTGCTTAGTTTTTATCTAAGAAATAAGAGACAAACCACAATTTTCAGCACTATTATACTGTAACCTAGAAATGGTATCTATAACAACTGGACACATAAGCCAGAGCATGATGTGAAATGGTATAGTTTTCTGATCCCAAGGAGTTATACTGGTGGTTTCTACAGAATAGGGGTTAGGGATGCTCAGGAATCAAGGCTTTTTTTTCCTTACTCCTTACTTAAATCATAACAGTTTCTGTTCTGTTCAGCAGATGACTTATCTAGAAGAAATGATTCTTCTGTTCTGTTCAGCAGATGACTTATCTAGAAGAAATGATTCTTCTGGAGGGACGGGTCCTTGGAGAGGGGCATCATGCTTGGGAGGGTGGAGGGACAACGCAGGAGGGGAAGACCCTCTATGAGGTGGATTGATTCGGTGACTGGGGTAATCGGGGTGGGTGTGTCAGAGGCGGTGCGGTTGGCGCAGGATAGAGCAGGGTTTAGAGCTGTTGTGCATAGGGTCGCTATGAGTCGGAAACGACTCGATGGCACATAACAACAACAACAACTAGTCTATTTACAAAATCCAAATACATTGTTTTCAAGAACAAAGTCTTTCAAGTTCTCTCATCCACCCACCCACCAAATTGTACACCTCATGATTAATGCCCCCCAACCCTGCACATCCTCACCTCTCTGCTTTCAACCTCTCCCACCCCTCTTGGCTCCTTATACTTATTTTATAATAATGGATTTGTACAATATTTATCCTTGTGGACTGAGTTCACTCAGCATAATGCTCTCCATTCCCTCCCAAGTTAGGTAGTAATTTACAAAATCATTGCTCTTGAGTGCTGCCACTACTTGGAGTATACCCTGAAAAATGAGAGCTGAGGCACAATTGGAGATTTGTACACTAATGTTCATAGCAGCATTATTCACCATTACAAGAACATGGAAATAGCCCAATTGTCCATCCACAAACTAGTGGTTCTACTGCTTTAAAAGCAGCGAAAACACAAAACATAAATTGGCAATCCACTAGTATATAGTGACTTTTGAACTTCAGTGGCCTAGTAGGTAAGGAATTGTACTTCTAACCCAAAAGTGTTCAGCTTGGTTCCACTAGCAGCTCAATAGGAGAAAGATGAGCAGTCTTTTCCAGGGGGATTTACAGCCCCTAAAAACCTACTGGAAGTTCTGCTTCTGAGTCTGTTCCACCCCTAGGACAATAATTTTGATATTTTTTTTTAATTTTGAGGATGAAGTGATCATCAAAGGACTACCTTTTAAAAACCTTGACCTTAACTGAATTGCTAGACCTTATTGGAATATTTTTCAAAAGATTTATCCATAGAATGTGGAGACTGACATGAAGTAAAATACATGAAGATAGTTAATAATCTGAAAATAGGAATCATGAGAAATGACTACTGGATTGGCATTTTCAACTCTGAAGTGGATAATGAAGTGTGATTTCCAATTAGCCTCAAATATTTAAGGGTCTTAATCATTTAGAGGATGAAAAATTGTGAGAGGTTTGTTGTTCTTTTTTTATCTTTAAGGGAAAAAAGCAAGAGGAAATGACTTGAGCTATAAATTTAGATTAGAAATAGGAACCTCCTGCCAATAAAGATTATTACATTTTTTTTATATCTCTTGTGGATATTTTCTCTGCCTTATAAACTGCTTCTAGCCTCTCTGTGCAGTGGGTGGAGGGGGGCATGGGATACATAATGCTTCTCAAGTTACTGGCGTCTCTCTTCTTTCTTTCCCTGGTAAATTTCTCCAAAGAATCCCAGAGAACAATCTGATTTCACAGCCCAATAATTCGTAAGGTCTTGTAAAGTGGCTTCTGCTCTGTCCTTTCTACAAACTGCTTTATTGAGCAACACCATTAATCTCTGTCAGGAGAGGCCTTTTCTTAGTTTTTCTCTCACTATCCGTAGTGTCCAACTCTTTTTTCCTTCAGAGGTTTTGCCATCGCTATTTGCTTTTAAAAGTTTTCTCCAGGTTTACTACAATTTCTCCTCTGGTTCCCTGCTCTGTTATCCTAAATCCTTCCCCATTGCCAGATTTCCTGTTAGCTCTGCGTTTTTTTCCTAACTTCGTATTTCGGTAGATAAGACTCTATGACTCTCAACCCATTCTAAAATGTGTGCTGCCTAATACAGCTCTTCCTTTTGTTCCTGCAATTGTTGCTTTAATTAGGTGTATTCTGTCTCTACAATACTCCACCATGACAGTTTGTGTCCTTTACACGTCTAGATTATGGGATGTGACATATCACACACACTTCTTCTTTGTCTCCATGCCCACCTCTATCTACCCCTGATCTTTTCTACGTGTTGTGGTACATCATAAAATTATTTTATTAAAGCATAATTTTGCATGGCAACTATGGATGGATTGACAAAGTGACGGCAACTATGGTTTCTAAAGTCAGGCAGGGATTGTAAAGGTGTTGGAAGGTCAGACAAGTTTCCAGTCTTGTACATAGGGTCACTGAGTTTGCATGGATTTTAGAGTACCCAGTAACCACAAAAACTGATATTTGCAATTTCTCTTTTGGAGCACTTTTTATCTTTGTTTTATTACAAGTGTGATTTTTAGGCCTTCTTAGAGCTCTATTGGCTTAGTGATAAGCAGTTCCACTGCCGTTCCAAAAGTGTAAGGTTCAAATTCACCAGCTGCTCTATGGAAGAAAGATGGGCAATCTCCTCTTATGCGATTTCTACCTCTGAAAACCCACTTGGAGGGTCAGTTATAGGTCTGTTCCAACTTGACACTAAATAACATAACAACATAACCTCACCTAACATATCCTCTCTTGTGACCCTGTACATTCTGCCGTCATGATGCTCCTTACACTGCTGTACAGTCATTACATAAAGTAAGTCATAACTTACTTAGTTTTTACTTCAAAGGGACAGTGAGCTCCTTAAAGGCAGATACTGTGTATTTTGAGCTTGGCATCTCTGGTGCTTTCTCTTGGTGCTATTTCTAAGGTTCTGCATTTTTTTTTAAAAAAATGGTGCATAATAATTCTATATTTGCTACAGCAAGAAGAAAATAAAATACTCATTCCTAGTTCCAGAGATTCTACACATTCCTGACTAAATTCACATTTCCAATTTTATATTACACAAACTCTCTTAATCTGCTCTACTACTTGAATTTTCTTTTTCTGTATGTACTTTATATGTGCAACCACCCTCTAAGTCTTCAGTTTAGAGGCTCATGTGTGAAGCAGTTGGATTCTGGAAGATGGTTTCTCTTGTCCTGGTGAGGGTCAGGTATGAACTGTTTTGGTTGGTTGTTTTCATTCACAGTTGGGTGTCAGCTGTTTGGATTTGCCTGATTTAGCTACCAATGAGCTGTGGGCTGGAAGCCTCTTGTTTAGAGTCAACCAGGACCTGGTGGGCAGGCCTTGCATTTAAAGGTGGTAGGATCTTCAGACCTGCTGTTAATTGTGTTAGAGATGAACATTCTTCTAAGTGATACAGCCCTGGTCTGTCAGTTTGCTGTACTGAAGTAAATTGGGGTTGCTGTGATGCTGAACACTGTGTCAAACATCATCTAGTATTTCAAACATCATCATGGTTACCTGTCGTGGACAGTGTTTAGTGGAGCACCCAGATTGATTCAGGTTTGGAAACAGGAGAAGCATCTACTTCCTAAACCACATGTCTATGTAAACTCGATGAACATAGTGAAAAATGAGAGTTATAGTACTAGGTTCTGGTCTTTTGTTCATAGGATCTCTATGAGTTGTGCTCGACTTAATGGCACTTAACAACAACAGCAATAATACATCACAGTGCCTTTGCTACTCTATGAATGTATTGCAATCCAATCTTGTGTATACCACTAAGTCACATTGATCCCCTGCCTAGGAATAATGATGCCTGTTCTGTACCCTTGTAGTGATTCCCTGACCTTTGTTTTCCTTGTATTATAATTTGGTTTTGGTGGTTATTTTTTAATTTTCTTTTATGCTGGTTTATTTACAATGTCTGTATACATTGTTTTTCACACTGGCTCTTTCCCATTTCCTTCACACACTCCTCCCTCAACCCATCAAATTAAGTGACCCTATGATTAACACCCCCATCCTAACCCTTCTGCTCCCTCTCCCCACCCCCATTAGATCGTTATACTCTTTCTACAGTAATGGTCTTACACAGTATTTGTCTTTATGGGATGAGTTCGTTCACTCAGCATAATGCTCTCCAGTCCCTCCTAATCTAGGTAGTGGTTTACAAAATCATTGCTCCTGCATGCTGCACAGTAATCCACTGTGTGAATGTAACATAGTTTCTTAAACCATTCTATTGTGGCTAGACAATTTGGGCTGTTTCCATTTTCTTGTGATGGTGAATAATGGTGTTATGAACATTGGTGTATAGTCTTCATTTATGCCTCAGTTCTCATTCTCTCAGGGCATATTGCATGCAGTTGAATAGATGGATCATATGGAATGTCTGTGTTCAGCTTTCAGAGAAAACACCCAACTGCCTTCCCCAGTGGTTATACAATTTTACAATCCCACCAACGGTGTATAAGAATTCCTATCTCACCTCTTCCTCTCCAACATTTATTACTTGTTCTCCTGTTAAACTTTGCCACTGCTGCTGGA